TGGGCAGCACGGCGGCGCATTCGGGCCAACTACCGCGCCAACGTGCGCAGGCTGGCCCAGTCCGACGCGCAGTAGTGGAAAGAGCAGGTTGCGCGGCACGCGCGCTCCATGATCGAGGCGGAGGAGGAGTTCGGTGCTGCGCCTGGCAGGCGTAGTGCAGCTGCTGCTTGCGGGGCCGCCGCTGTGGCGCCTGTGCCGCCGCTGGCGGCAGTGGTCTGCCCTGAGCTGGCATCAGAACCCGCTGGCCTGCGGTCGTCGGCGTCGAGTGGAGACCAGGCAGCCGCATCGCCTGGCTAGAGGCCGCCTTCGGAGGAGTCGCGCACGAGAGGCAGGCCCAGCAGGACCGCGACCGTTTCGGAGGAGGTCGCGGGGAAGCTGGGGCCCCAGGTTTGCGGCGAAGCTGGGCCTCAGCGAGGCGGGCTGGATACTCATGCGCGGCGACCTCGCGGAGGTGAGTAGAGAGCTGGAAGTGTGTCAGAGCCCGCTGGGCTGGAGTCAGTGTCGCCACGTACTGAGGGCCCCCCAACGGCGCGGATGGACCATGGGCCGAATCCCATGGAAGCTGGCAAGCAGTCTACGCTCAGGCTGACTCCCAAGGAGCGCGGGTACCTCGCCTCGGTGGTGACCAACGGGCAGGGGAGTCAGAGCCGCAAGTACGAGCAGGGCATGGCCGTGTGCGACTCGTGCTTGCTGTGCGGCGAGATCGGCACCCTCCTCCACAGGCGCTGCGGCTGCGCTGGATGGCCGCCCGAGCTGCGCCTGCCCGACAAGATGGGCGCGCTGCTGGAGAAGGCCGACCTGCCCGAGGTGAAGTGCCCGCTGGAGCGCGCGCCGCGCCCAGCCCCGCCAGGGATTGCGAAGCCCAGCCCATCGCCCCACATCTGCTGGCTGGGCGAGCACGACGGGTACCTCCCACCAGGCGAGCTGTTCCACGACGGCTCGCAGTTCGAGGGCGACTACGAGCGGTATGCCAGCGTTGCCTGGGCCGTCGTCGCCATCGAGCAGGACGCGGACATCTTCCTGCGCAGGGCGCCGGGCACGCTGCGCGAGTGCGGCCAGCAACGGCGGCGAGCTCATGGCGCGCATCGTGGTCCTCAGGGTCGCGATGCCGCCCGTCACCGTGGTCGTGGACAGCGGCTTCGCGTGCCGCGGCCTCCTGGAGCTTGGGCCCAGGCGCACCACCGCGCCTGGCGCGGCGTGGGCCCACCTCTGGGAAGAGGTCCGGAGGCTGCCGGGCGTGTTCGGAGGCCTGGGGCGCGACGGGCTGCTGGTCAGGAAGGCGCGCGCTCACCAGACCACGAGGGCCATCGGCCACGCCAAGCTCACGTACAGGGACTGGCAGGGCAACCGCTACGCCGACAGAACTGCGAAGTCGGCAGCGGCTGCTGGACGCATTCGCCACGCTGTTCGTCGTCGCCTCGACATGGCGGTCGAGCTGGTCGAGGGCGCCGGCATGTGGGTCTCGGCGGTGGGCGGCGCCATGGACGGCAGAGACACCGCGCGCCGCGTGGCCAAGCCGAACCGCCCTGCGCCGAAGGCGGTGACGGCGCAGCCAGCGGTGAAGCTCTCCTGCGACTGGCGGGGGCTCCCTGGCAAGAGGTGGCGCAGCCGCTGCAGATGGGCCCGAGCACACGAGCGAGCGCCCTGGCTCCATCACCGCGGCGGCGCTGCAGCACAATGAGCGGCTCAGGCGCGACGGCCTGGACGCGCACATGCTGGCGCAGCTGCGGCCCCAGCGCGAGGCCGACCTGGTGCGCGAGATGCCGCTCGTGGCGCGCGCGGCCTGCGGCGTCGCGGGCTCCGTGCGGGCGGTCAGCTTCGCCGCCCCTTGCGGCCGCGCGTCGGCCAAGGGCAAGCTGGCCATCGCCAGGCTGAGCAAGAGGCTGGCGCCCGCCATCTCGGACAAGATCGCGGTGTCCATCGAGCCGCTGACGGGCTGATAGGCACTCCCGGTCGCGTTCGGCGTGCTAGCTCGGCCGATGGCCGCTGAGCACGCAGTGCGTTGGGAGGTGGCGCGCGGGGCCGTCGCGCGCCGCGCGCGCCGAGCTTGCGGGCGCCCGCTGCGGCAGGCGCGAGGGCCCGCTGCGGGCGGGGCGCGCACGGGCGCGGAGGTGGCGGCACCGCTCTCTTCCGAGGCCCGCTCATCATCATCATCATCATCATCATCATCATCATCATCATCATCATCACCATCACCATCACCATCACCAATCATCATCATCCTCATCATCAGCATCATCACCATCGTCATCATCAGCATCCTCTTCCTCCCTCCTCCTCCCCCTTCCTCCGTCCTCTCTCAACTCAAATCCCTCCTCCCCTCATCACTCCTCCTCCTCCTCCTCTCCCCTCCCTCCCTCCTTCCTCCCCCTCCTCCTCCTCCCCTCTTCCTCGTCCTCCCCCTCCTCCTCCCCCCTCCGCCCTCCTCCTCCCCCTCCTCCTCCCCCCCCTCCTCCTCCTCCTCCTCATCCTCCTCCTCCTCCTCCTCCTCCTCCTCCTCCTCCTCCTCCTCTTCGTCCTCCTCCTGCCCAGAATCCAGGAGGCACGCCCAGGACGCCCAAAGGGAGGCCCCGGCAGGCATCGCCCGTGGACCCCGACTTTTTTCTGGGGGTCGGCGAAGTACACCAGGGAAAAAAAAACGATCAGTGGCTGGTTTCATGAGATCGATCATGAGATCGATACCCAGAGATCCAACGAATTGAACAAGTCAAGACGGGGGTTGTTCTCAGATGTCGGCCCCCAGGGGCCCTCGCCGAGCACCGGGACAGTCCAAAAACGATGCAAGATGAAAAACCGGTCCTGGGGCATGGGTCGAGACTTCCAGGGACCGCGTACTGAACAAATCACGACGTCGGATCTGCGGGTAATGAATCGCCGCGGGATCAGGAGCTGGTCCCAGGGAAGTGGTCGAGAGGCCGGGGGGGCCCACGCTCCGGACAGAGCGATGCGCCAGATGCCCGGGGTCGGCGCTGGGCCCCCCTTAGCGGCGCCGCCCCGTTGCGCTCCGCTCGCCGATTCGCCGATCCAAGAAGTCTGCGCGGACTTCCAACACGTTGTGCTTACCTTGCCTTTTCCATCCTCAGCGGAAGGAAGAAGCAGCCCCCGCCCCCCCCCCGCCCTGCGTTGGCCACAGTCACGACGTATGCACCCAGACCCCCTCGCGGCGTGAAGTAGTCGCGACGGGCGGCGTTTGGACACTTTCGGCCTCGAGGCACAAAGTGTTTCGGGATGGACAAATCGCCCCAGGCAGCGGGTCGAGACGTCCAGGGGTTCACGCTATGAAGACATCCTGGCGTCGGGGTTCTGGGTATAGCGTTTTTTGCACACAGCGTTGAGCCATGAGGTCTGGACCCCTCCCCCGGGACAGGCTTGGTCGTCCTGGGCCGCTGTTTTTGACGGCTCCAGGGCCCACCCAGGGCCGCCGGAGACCGGAAGTGGCGGAAGAGTTTGTGTCGCGATTGCTGCCGCCGCGAGAAGAGGGAGGGGGAGGGGGAGAGAGGGGGTGGGGTCCCGCTGGGGCTGCACGCGGTGCTGTCTCTGGCCCCGGGTCGAGGTCTTGTCCGCAGCGAGAGGAGCTCGGGGCTCCCTCACAGGGGGGGGGGGGGGCTGGAGAAGCCAGGAGGAGGGTACGGTCAGACCAAGGTATAAGACCGTGGCCGGTTCGGGGAAGGGACCTTAGTGTTCTTCGTGTCTGTTGGATGTTCTTGTGCGTCCTGGGGGAGGGGTGCCCTCGAATGTTTTGTGTGTGTTGGGCTGATGGAGTGTCTCATGTTCTTGAGGGATATTATGATGTCCTAGGTCGAGCCGTACGGTAGGTTCGCGTCATGTCGACCCACGGCGACCCCGCCGCCGGCGTTCAAGGTTGAACGCCGCCGGCGACTCAGCACTGGTCGATGTTGGAAGACCTGACGTTTCGGAAACGGCCGATCGGTCAAGGTTGAATGATCCCCGCGGTGTCAGAGACCGTTCGCCGAAGTCGGCACGATGCGAACCCGCCGCAGGAGAAGCCTGGAGGAGAAGCCAGCAGAACATCTTGCCGTGAGGTTTCGCGCCGAGACGACATCGAGGTTGGGCCTGCAACGCTCTGGGCATCCCAGCCCGACCTCCCCAAGACGGCGCGTCGCCAGCCCCAGGCCTCTCATCCCCTTCGGGAGGAGGAGGAGAACGAGGAGGAGGCGGAGGCGGAGAAGGAGGAGGAGGAGGAGGAGGAGGAGGGAGGAGGAGGAGGAGGAGGGAGGAGGGGAGGAGGGGAGAGGGGAGGGGGGAGGGGGGACAGGGGTGAGGGGGGGGGAGGGGAGGGGGAGGGGGAGGGGGAGGGGAGGGGGAGGAGGAGGAGGAGGAGGAGGAGGAGGAGGAGGAGGAGGAGGAGGAGGAGGAGGAGGAGGAGGAGGAGGAGGAGGCGCTCTGCGCCAGCGGTGGCAGCGGCGAGCACGGCGGACGGCCCACGACGTGCACGACGGCGGTGGCGACGGCGAAGGCGACGGCAGCGGCGCTGAGGACGGCGGCGGAGAGGACGGCGGCGGCGGCGAGGACGACGGCGGCGAGGGCGACGGCCCGGAGATCCTGGCGCTGCATCCTTTCACAACGGGCGTGCCCCGCTCGGCTCTTCGGCCCCCCGGGGCTCTCGCACAGATCGATCCCGCTCGAGTAAGGGGAGAAAGATGGGGCCCGGGGGATACGGCACAAATTTTTCACGACGTGGCAATTCTCTCTCGTCGTCGGCTCTCAGGGAAGGGCGGAGGGGCGACGAGGGCCGAACGCGAGGGGGGGTGGGGAGCCTCAGCCCAGTATCGGCGATGTGTCGCTGGTTGATCGGCAAGAGCCGCGCGCTCCGGGGCAAGCCGCGGGTGGGCATCGGATCCCCGATCGGGGAGGAGTGGGCGAGTTCCCCCCTCCTCGTCCTCATCCTCATCCTCCTCCTCCCCCTCCTCCTCGTCCTCCTCCTCCTCCTCCTCCTCCTCCTCCTCCTCCTCTCACGGGGGGGCGGCGGCGGCGGCGAGGACTGCGTGGGGGGCCTGAACCGGGCCGCCGGCGAGGCGGCAGGCGCGGCGGGTGCCGCCAGTTGTTGTCCCGCCGCCGGTGGCCGCCGTCGACGTCAGCCGCCGCCGTTTGCCGCCGCGTCGTCGTCGTCGTCGTCGCCGCCGCCGCCGCCGTCGTCGTTGTCGTCGTCGTCGTTGCGGTCGTCGTCGGGTGTCGTCATCGTCGTCGTCGGCGTCCTCGTCGGCGGCGTCTTCGGCGTCGGCGTCGGCGTTGGCGTCGGCGTCGGCGATGGCGTCATCGGCATCGGCGTCGGCATTGGCGTCGGCGGCGTCGGCGCCGGAGTCGGCGTTGGCGGCGTCGCCGTCGCCGTCGCCGTCGCCGTCGCCGTCGCCGTCGCCGTCGCCGTCGCCGTCGGCGGTGTCGTCGTCGTCGTTGCCGTCGTCGTCGTCGTCGTCGTCGTCGTCGGGTGTCGTCGGGTGTCGTCGTCGTCGTCGTCGTCGTCGTCGTCGTCGTCGTCGGGCGTCGGCTCCAGGCGTCGGCGCAGTCGTCTGTGTCGCCGCGGTCGCCCTCGCCCTCGCCCTCGGTAGTCGTCGCGGTCGCCTTTGGTCGTCGTCGTCGTCGTCATTGTCCTCCGTCCCACCCCCCGTGGTCGAGATGTCGGGGGTGCGTGCCCCGAAAACATCGAGACGCGGGACGTCTTGGTGGTCCCCTGCTCCCCCCCCCCGCCCGCCCGCTTGCATGGCTCCCGCGCCCCTCCATCGCCCCTCGCTCCCGCGTCCTTCCTCCCCTCCCTCCCGTCCCGCCACTGCCCCCGCGCCCCCCCCCCCTCAAGAGGGGAAGCAACACATCCGCGCGCCGCCCCGACGGGGACCCCCCCCTTCTCGGCCTCCCCCCCCTCCCTCGCGTTGTGACAGCAAGCGGCAGGCGCTGGCTGCGTTTGGCCTCCAGGTGCCCTCGCCAGGCCCTGGCACCCGCTAACGGGGCGACACACGGGTCTCCGGGATGGGGCCCAGACTCATGTGGGGCCATGCCACGGGGGTCTGGGGCGGGGTCCCACCCGCACCCTCTCCCCTGCGCCCGCCCTCTGCTCAGCCCCTCCGCGCATGCTCTGAGCCGCGCCTCCCTTGAGTCGCCCCGTGTGCCCCGTTGCCGTTCTTGCCCGCGGGAGTTTGCTCACAGCGGTCCCCGGTCGCGGTCCCCCGTCACGCCCGTCTTCCCCGTCCCTTTTCTCTCGGGCCAGTCGACCCAGCAGTGGTTCCCCCGCCTGGCCCCACGCCTCTCCAAACTGGAGGAGGAGGAGGAGGAGGAGGAGGAGGAGGAGGAGGAGGAGGCTGGCCCCGGGACACATCCTGGGGTCCATCCTGCCCCAGTTGTCGAGGTGGGGCCAGCCATGGAGGGGACAAGCCTCTAGGAGGCCACATGAGGCGCAAACGCCAGGGGAGGCCGGCGTTGTCTCAGTCGGCCCTCCTCCGATCTTCCCCTTCGTCACCCTTCATCCGCCCAACTCCTCTCCCCAACTTTCACGGGCATCGTTCAAGGGGGGGGGGCTCAAGGGGCATGCATCGACCCCCAATCGCCCATTCTTCGCCGCGGGGAGTAAGGCGGGCGTGTCCCTCTACAGGAGGAGTATTCAAACATAGTCAACAACTAGTCTGGGGGCGATGTGTCTGTTATGGCTTGATGTGTTGTGAGTCGTTTTTGAGCTTAGTGTTAAGATTGGCATTATTAGTATGATCAGTATTATTATTGTCAGTTGATATTATTAGTATTAGTTTTCAGTATTAGTATTAGTATTAGTATTTGTAGCATTACTATTATTAGCAGTATTATTATTATTATTAGTAACATTATTATTATTATTAGTATTATTATTATTGGTATTATTATTATTAGTAGTATTATTGTTATGTTCTATTTTATGTGTTTTCCCTACCTAGGCTCTGCCTAGAAGGGTTCTTACTCTCTTTGCTTAAAGGGGCCGGGCAGTGCTACACGCCCCGGGCGGTTCCCTCAGTCCCCTGGGAGCGGTTCCCCCTGTCCCCTGCGAGCTTTAGCTTTAGCTTAGCGTTAGATTTAGCTTTAGCTTAGCTTTAGCTTTAGCTTTAGCTTAGCTTTAGCTTAGCTTTAGCTTAGCGTTTAGCTTAGCCTTTAGTTTAGCCTTTAGCTTAGCCTTTAGCTTAGCCTTTAGCTTAGCCTTTAGCTTAGCCTTTAGCTTAGCCTTAGCTTAGCTTTAGGTTGGCTTTAGCTTAGCTTTAGTTTAGCTTTAGCTTAGCTTTAGCTTAGCTGTAGCTTAGCTTTAGCTTAGCTTTTGCTCAGCTTTAGCTTGTCTTTAGCTTAGCTTTAGCTTATGCTTAGCTTAGCTTTAGCTTAGCGTTAGCTTAGCTTTAGCTTAGCGTTAGCTTAGCTTTAGCTTAGTTGTGGCTTAGCTTTAGCTTAGCTTTACTGTTACTACTAATGCTGCTTTCCTAGGGGTTCCAACTCCCAGGTAGGGTCGCACTGCGATAATTATATTAACAAAAAACGCTAAAGATCCTTCTGCAGGGGGGACATGCCCGACCCAACGATCAGGGCCTGGCAGCCCACCCCGCCCAGGGCCGTGCGGCCGCGCCTCCGGCGGCCCGTCGCCGATCCGTCGGCGGTGCCCCGCCGCTGCCGGCTCTCGCTGCCGCCCCCGCAGCGGGCCCTCGGAGACGGCAGGGCCGTTTTCCAGAGCCCCGAATCTCGGGGGCGGAAAAGAGGGGGGTGATGACCAGGGGGGGGGGGATTTCATGGCGCGGGCCATGATTTTTCCTCAGATTTCATGGCGCCTCTTCTTATTTCATTACGTCCCTGGTCCCCCCGCTGGGCCGCGCGCATGCCGCCGGTCATGATGTGCAGCCCCCCCTCTTGGACACCCCCCTCTTGGCCGCTCCCGAGAATCATCAGGGGTAACTCGGGTCAGGGCTAACTCGGTTTCCTTTTTCGGGAATCCGAGCCCGACTTACCCCCGACCCGAGTTACCCCGGATAACTCGGGCGTCCAGAGCCCCGAATCATCAGGGGTAATTCGGGTCAGGGCTAACTCGGGTTCCTTTTTCGGGAATCCAAACCCGACTTACCCCGGACCCGAGTTTTCTCACCGTTTCTTGGCGGCGCGCCGAGGGGGGTAGGGGGGAGGGGGGAGGGCTTCTTAGAAGCACCCCTGCTTCTTAGAAGGCGCGGACCTTGTCGGTAAACGTAGGGCTCGCTGCTTTGAGAAGCGGCCTTCTTCTAAGAAGCCTTCCCCCCTCCCCCCTACCCCCTTGTGCGCGCCTCCTCCGTGGTGGATAGACCTCCTACCCTGACCCGTCGGTTCAGGAATTGGCCGTGATCGGTTCGCGAGGGGGCGTCGCGGCCGTCATTTCTGCGGGTCCAGGTCCGTCGGTTTCGGTACCAGGCCGTTTTCACTAAGGGGAGGTTTACCAGGTTTGTCCACCGCCGATGTCCCTTGCAAGTGAAAACGGCAACAAAAACGGCGAACGGCAACTGCGGCAAGAACGGCTCCAGGATTGGAGCGGGAGCGGGAGCCCGTAAAAGAACGGCGACGGAATTGGTAACAAAAACGGCGCCGGAACCGGCCAACAAGACAGCAAAACGGGACCGGTAAAAAAAAACGGCCATGTCGATTCCAGGGCCCACTAAGTGTCTCCCCCTCTCGGAGCCGCTCCCCCCTGACGTTGCCCCGCGCTGCCCGTCATCCTCCGATTCCCCGGTTTCGAGGGGGCCGAAATTGGTACGGAAACAGTGGGTACGAAGACCAGCGGCAGTTCTTTTTCGTTTCGTGCTGGAGTGGCCGTCGGTGTCGCTGCGGACGCTGTCCATTTGAGACAAAAGTCGCCCACCCAACAGTGGCCGCTGTCGTTTCTGGATGATGTCTGCCGCTGGGCGTTGTACCCGCGTTTTCCGTACCCCTCGAATGGGGGATCCACTAGAGAATCGAGTTACCCCAAAAATTGATGTTCTCGTCGACCTCATGAAACATGCGCAGAATGTTCGTAGATCTGCGCCACATTCTGCGTAGTTATTTGTTCGTGGGTTCGACGAGGAAATCCTGACTGGGGTCAATCAGTTCTGCAGCCGATCCCCTGCTCAAGCCCCTTTTCGGGCGTCCAGACCATTCGCCCGAGCTGTTTCGCCTCGGCCTTGCGCGGAGCCGCGCGGTGTTTTGGGGATGCTGGGACGGCCCCAGACTGCTTGGGGGGGCCTGTCGAGGCCGGCTGGGGCTACACAGGGGGGGGGGCCTGTTGAGGCCAGGGCCAGCCAGGACTGCTTGGGGCGGCTGTCTGGGGGCAGCCCACAGCCTCACCCGCTTCGCCGCCCTCCATCCGCTCGGCTCCCCCCTCGGAGCTTTCGGGGGCCGAGGCCCCGAGTCTTAAGTCGGGCCTGTATCCCTACAGGGGGATCTTCGACGAAAAATAAGAAATACACCAAACATTATATATATATATATATATATATATATATATCATATTATTTTTTTTTAAAAAAAAAAGAAAAAAAACAAAAAAAAAAAAAAAAAAAAACAAAAAAAAAAAAAAAAAAAAAAAAAAAAAAAAAAAAAAAAAAAAAAAAACGTCCACAAATAGTCTTGGGACTATTGTTTGTATTTTTTGTGTTTTATGTTTTGGTGCATGTTTTGAATATTTGTTGGTGCATGTTTTGTGTATTTTTTGTGTATAGTTTTGCTTATATTTTTTGGATTGCTATCTGGCACTATTTTGTGACTATATGTGTGGGGGTATTTTGGCGGATTTTTCTATCTGTCGTCGAAAATGCCCCTCTAGCGGAACATGCCCGACATAGCCCGAGTCCTGCCGCCGCGCTCGACGGCCACCCCAGCGAGCGCCGTCGAGCACGGCGGCGCGCACGCCGCAGCCGGGAGGGGGGGGGGGGGGGGGGCAGACCGGCTGGGCCCACGGGGCCCAGGAGCGCAGAGGGAGGCGAGGACGAGGACGCGGACGGGAGGGGGAGGGGCAGGCCTAGGGAGGAGGAGGAGGAGGAGGAGGAGGAGGAGTGGAGAGGAGGAGGAGGAGGAGGAGGGGGAGGAGGAGGAGGAGGGGGAGGAGGGGAGGAGGAGGAGGAGGAGGAGGAGGAGGAGGAGGAGGAGGAGGAGGAGGAGGAGGAGGAGGAGGAGGAGGGGCAATGCCTAGGAGGAGGAGGAGGAGGAGGAGGAGGAGGAGGAGGAGGAGGAGGAGGAGGAGGAGGAGGAGGGGAGGAGGAGGGGGGATGGAGGAGGGGGAGGGGGAGGAGGTGGAGGAGGGGAGGGGGAGGAGGAGGAGGGGAGGAGGAGGAGGGAGGGGGTGGGGGAGGGGGGAGGAGGGAGGAGGAGGAGGAGGCGGAGGAGGAGGAGGAGGAGGAGCAGTGTAAACCCAAGACCCATCGACGATGTTGAATACACCCTCCCTCCAAGATCCCTCGTCATAGGCCCCATACAAGGGGTCATTTCCACTGAGGGAGTTGCCCCGTTCGGGGACAACTGTGTGAACATCTTGGGACGTGCCAGAGCACTAGTCTCAGGATTTCAGCGCCACGAATTAGCCTGATTGGCACGTCTTGGCGATCCGGAATCGTGCCAGGACACCAGTTGTGGGATTTCGGCACCGCGAGCCAACGTAATTGTTGCGGCCTGGCAATCCTGAACCGATCCAAAACACCGTGCTTCTGGTAAATACTTGAACCATGAGGACCAGTGAAACCCTTGCAACTGTTTAAACCACATGCGCGCAGCACTAAAACGAGAGCCACACTTTGAAAGGAACCGTCCTCAATTCGCGAAACCCTTTCAAAGATGTTCAACAAGAATGCGCGCGGCGCTAAGGCGGAATCGACATTTTGAAAACGACCCGCCCTCTATCAGTGAACCTCTTGCAAAGTAGCAAGACGAATGCGCGCGGCGCTAAGGAGAGAGCCAAGTTATGAAAACCACCAGCCCTCGATTCGTTGCAGGGAGAACTCGTCCGATCCCTCTGTTCCCCCAAGTTCCCAGATTGTCCTCCCTCGCTTCGCGGCCGCCGTCTCCAGAGCTGTCTCGGTGGCCGCGTTCCGGGGGAGCTTCCCCTGCACGCGGAGATGCTGTGCATATTCCCCCAGTGACCCCCGCTCACAGAGTTGACCCAAGGGTGGGCGGCGCTTCGCCACATTTTGGAACACGCTCCCCCGTCGCGGGCCTGGGCCCAAAGAAGGACAGTTGCTGGCGGGTAGACGACGTCGGCCCGTATCCCCAGCGCCCAGTCTCGTCGATGTTTGTTCGGATGTGCAGATCCCCATTCCATGTCCCACTATCTCCACTGCCTTCGCCTGCTCCATCTCCGCGCTGTCGCGAGCAGCGACGCTACAGAAGGCAGCGCTGTTGCGAACGGAGATCTTGGCGGCAACGTGGCACTCGATGACCTTGAACTTTGGGTGGACTGGATACGGCGGGCGACGCATAATGTGGAGCAGGGTATGATCGATTTGCAACTTGATTCTTGGGTGGTTGCTTGGAGACGCAGAGCGTGGCGACTCGCAGCCCGCGTCGCCCTCGCGACGCCAGCACATGGGCCAGACAGATTGTTCAACGAGACGCTGGGGGAGCCGCGGGCGCGGGGTCGCCTGGACAGCAAAAACGTTGGGAAGACAGTATTGTAACATTTTTGCGAGATCTGGATTCCGATTTTGGCACGGAGCGGCCCGGATGGCTGGCGCTCGCTGCTGACGCAGATGCTAGGGGGACGAAGCATGACATAAACATAGTAATACGGAGGTCCGCGCGGATTTCTCGGATCGGCGCTGGGTCCCCCTGGCGGCGCCTCCGGCGCCGCCCCTGGCGCGCTCCGCGCGCCAGGGAAGGGGATCCAGCGCGGATCCAAGAAGTCCGCGCGGATCTCCGAGTTGTTATGTTTATGTTTTTTTCGGCCCCCTAGATGCATGGGGCCATCTGGAGGAGGCCTTCGCGAGGAGAAAGTAATTAGTGTATTGAGGCACCGCGGCGCCTACCCACCCAGCCCCGCGCCGGGCCGGTTTTTTGACCGATAGCGGTTGCCTGCCTGCCTGCTTGCTTGCCTATCTCTTCGCTGCCCCTCGTGACCATCTTCCTGCTTGCTCCCTCACTGTCTTGGTTTCGGCCCCTCCCCCGGACAAGGAGTCTGAATACTCGCGCCGCCGCTGTCACGACATTGCTGCGGTGAGTTCCTACATCTGCCACAAAGTGAAAGCTGGTCCTGCCAGCCGCACCCGTGCCCCGCCGCCTGCGCACCAGTCTGATCTACGAGCCGCTGCTCTCGCCGCAGTGCGGCGCGGGAGCGCCGGCGGCGGCAGACCTACCGCAGATTCCAGATGCGTGCGCTCCCGCTGCCTCGCCCCCCCGATCACCGCTCCGCATCGTCCTCCCGATCGCCATCGCTCCTTCCGCTCCTCCCCCCTCGCCCCCCCCTGTCGTCCTCGCCGCTCCCCGTCCCGCGCCCAGTCGGCGCGAGTGCCACTCCTCGGAAGGCTCGCGGGGGTCCCCCGGCCGTTCGAGAGGTTTGCGAAGCCCTCCCCGAAGGCACAGGAGACCTCCCAGAAGGCGCGCGGGCTTCCGAGAACGTGTCCGGGCGGGGCGCCACCTCACCCACGTGCCGTGCCGCTCCGTCTCGCGACCGGCATCGGAGCAAGTCGAGCAGGAGATCGGAGATCGACTGCAGCATCCACGACAGCACAAAGGGTGTTCGGTGATCACCGAACAGTCTGCGCGTGGTGCAGACAAGACGAGGCACTCCTGCAATCACGGGGTGCATCAATTCTTCGGTCGATCTCCGACTCGTATTTGGCGGTTCGATCGCAACGATTCCGCGATCTCACGAGGGGCGTTCCCGCTGCAGCGCTGGCTTCATGTCAAGATCGGCGCGTCGCTCAGATCCGAGGTTGCAAAAAATGCACATGGCACACAACAGAGTGACGACCAGAGCCCCAAGCACCATCCTTTTGCATCTTCTTTTCGAAACGGATCGATATGTTACGGACCGGGGGCCAGAAACCAAGCGAAAACGCCAGGCGCGACAAAAATGCAATGCCAAGATCTCGGGGGGGGGGAGGCTGAGAGGGGTGAGGGTGGTCCTGTCGAGGCTGCACGCGGTCGTGCCTCCTCAGAGGGGTGCGGGGGGGGGGGGGGGGGGGGGAAAGGGAGGCCGGGAGGGAGGGGCGGGGGAGGCGGGAGTGAGGAGGAGACGGAGGGGGATGGGAGAGCCCCTCAGCTCGCGAGCAAAGGAGGGGCGCCCGTCGCAAAGAAGTTCGGGAAGGACGAGTTCGGGGCCCACCTGAGGCCGTCGGACTGACGGGCTACGCCGTGCCGCCCGTCGGCGCGGCACAGAGCCCTCACTGAAAGGTTCGCTGAAAAGGGGGATGGGAGGGACGAGGGAGGGCAGGCGGAGGAAAGGGGGGTGTTGTGATGGTTGCGGTGGTTGCGGCAGTTTTTGGTGGCTTGTCTGTTCTGTTATATGTGGTTTGTTATATGTGATCTGGTTGCGATCGCTTGCCTTGGAATATGTAGTCCATGTTGGTCTGGGGGTCCCAGGAAAATGTCCACCAGCATGCCTCGCGCGCTCAAGTAGCACAGCGGACATCACCCTTGAAAATACTTAGCATCGCGTTCTGGGAGCTTGTTTGCCTGTCTGTGAGATTGGTCAACTCGCTTCCTGGCATATTCATTGACGTCGCGAGGGGGGGGAAGGGGCACGAGGGGGGCGGCGGGGGCAAACCGTCCGCCGTGATTCCGTTCGCGGTGAGGGGAGGTGGGGATCCCCCCCTCCTCGCCCCGCGGGGGGTCAAGGCGTGGAAAGCCCCCGGAAAGTCCGCCGTGCCTTGCTCGCCGCGAGGGAAGGGGACCCCCCCCCCTCTTCCCGCCCCCTGCGCGCGCGCGCGCCACGCCCCGCCTCGCGCGCGCGCGCGCCCCGCCCCGCAAAGGCGCCCGCTTCGGCGGGTGCGCCTTCCGGGCCGTCGCTGGGGCGGTGCCGCTGGACGAGGGGGCGCCCCTCGCCGCCGCGGGCCTGCAGGACGCGGGGCGGCGCGGCGCGGTGGCGCGGGCCGCTTGCGCGCGGCGCGGCGCGCGGGCCGGCGGCAGCCCGACCCCAAGAGGGACGGACAGGGGACCGACGACGACGACGACGACGACGACGATGACGACGATGACGACGACGATGACGACGACGACGACGACGGCGGCGACGACGACGACGGCGACGCGCGGCCTGCGCGCGGCCTGCGCGCGTCAGCGCTCGGCGGCGGGATCCGAACCCTGCCCTCGCCGATCCGCGGTTCAGGTCAGCACAGGATATCATACCCCCCCACCCCAGTTACCCCTCGGGGGTTTTTCAGTGAGTCCAGGGGGGTCGACAAGTCATCAGCATGTCAGTTCATCTCTCCTTACCATGTCATCTCATTTCCCTCCTCATCCTTCCCCCCCCCCTCGGGGCGAGCGAACGCAGGCGAGTCGGAGGAGGGAGTCGGAGGAGGAGGAGGAGGAGGAGGAGGAGGAGGAGGGAGGAGGAGGTGCAGGGAAGGAGAGGAGAACGGGGGGAAGGAGGGGAGGAGGAGGGAGAAGAGAACGGGATGAGCAGGAAGAGCAGGAGGGAGGAGGATGGGGATGGAAGGGGTGGGGGGGGCGGGGGGGGACTCTGGGCCCCCTGGGGGCTCCCTGGGTCCCTCTTGGAGGTTTCCTGGCCTTCTTTGGCATTCTCGGTCGTGGGGGCCTGCGGTCCCGCCCATTCCTCCCCCGTCTAGTCGTGCCCCCTGGAGTGTTGCCGGGACTGAGGTGGTGCTGCCAGGACTGGGGTGGGGGGCGCTGCCAGGACCGGGGTTGGGTTAAGTCGGGCGTGTCCCCCTACAGGGGGATTTTCGACGAAGAGTATAAGATACCCCAAACATGATCCCAAATGGCCAAGAAATAATATATATATATAATAATAATAATAATAATAATACTAATAATAATAATAATAAGACTAATAATAATAATAATAATAATAATAATAATAATAATAATAATAATAATAATAATATATAAACATAAACAGAAAAAAAAAAAAAAAAAAAAAAAAAAAAAAAAAAAAAAAAAAAAAAAAAAAAAAAAAAAAAAAAAAAAAAAAAAAAAAAAAAAAAAAAAAAAAAAAAAAAAAAAAAAAACTGGATGTCTCGAGCGCGGCGCCCCTCCCCGAGCTCCTCGGGCTCTGCGCGCGAGCTCTTTCGGAGGCCCTTGGGGGCTGCTGGCGGGACCGGGGTGGGGGTTATGACATCCAACCTGTTGGGCCCTTGGTCGGGGAACCAGTCCAGGGCGGGGCCGACAGCAGGCCGTCCACGCTGATGGGGCCCCGAGCAGCGTCTGAGGGACCATCTGACGCGTACCCGTCGCAGTCGTCACGCTCGCCGCGGCGGGGGGCCCGCGCGCCGCGGGTCCGCGCCCCGGCCATCCAGCCAGCGCCAGGGGAGCAGCGCGGGGTGGAGGAACCAGTCCGCGGTGAGGCTGGCGACGAGCGGTCGTCGCCGTAGAGCACCACCTCGCGCCAGGAGGCGAGCCTCTTGATGTGTACCCGCGGTCGTCGTGCACGTCGTGGCTGGGGGCCCACGCGCAGCAGGGTCGCTCCCCAGCAGCGCCCCCAGCGCCGCCCCAGCACGCAGCGCCACGTGCACCGCGAACCTCTGGCCGAGGGCGGTCGCGAGTTGGGGGGGCAAGCTCATCGCGCGGCTCCGACGACCTCGCCTCGGCGAGAGCCGCTTCGGGGCGGGGGCTTCGCGAGTTCCTTTCGGAACACCCGCTATGGCCCCCGCCCCTCAAGGGTCGACCCTCGGCTCGGCCGCCACCAGCGCCGCGCGCCCCCCGTGCCTCTGGCCGAGGCAGCTCGCGAGCGAGAGGGGCCAGTCCAGGTGGTGCCTTACGTAAAGAGCCAAGCCGTCGTGCCACGCGTCGCCCCTGAAGTTGAAACGCATGGCCCGCACCCGCTTCGTTGGCCAATCCCGTTGTCGAGATTGGGCGTGGCGCCGCGGGGGGGAGAGCCGCGAGGGGAAGGGGCCTGTCCAGCGGTGGCGTCCCACCTCGCGAACTGGAGGCGGGCAAGCCCGCATGTGTCTTCGTAGATGAAGACGCCGCCGTAGACGTAGTCGCTGTCATCACAGCACCAGGTGGGCCTCTGCCACTTGCCGATGGCTTCCGACTCGCAGGCGGGGCCCGCCCCGCACTCGAGGTCATGCTGCAGGAATGTGTACACATGTAGTCCAGGGCCCGCAGGATGCGACCGCGATTGTGCACTGCGCCCCGCCCACGCAGGCGCCCCCGCCGAGTGTGCCCGCGCCGCTGGGCGCTGCACTCGAGGGCCGCCTCAAAACCGTCGGACCTTTGGCCCGCCGTTGTCGAGCCTATGTCAAAGGCTCGACTGGTCCTCGTCGTCGCCCACGGGGACCGCCGCCGCCTTGCTGGCCGCGCCGCCGCGGCCGCCCTTGGGTGCGCGCCCCTTGCCAGCCGCAGCCTCGCTGGCCGCGGCGGCAACCAGGCGCTGGCGGCCCGCCTCCAGCACCTCCGCCGCCACGGCCCCGCGCCTGCGGCCCCTGCAGCGGCATCAGGAGCAACGGGTGGAGCCGCCTGCGAGGCCTGGGCGGGGGCCTCTTGCTGGCCGCCAACGGCAGCGGCGGCGGCAGGGGGCGCCGCGGCGGGGGCCGCTGCTGCAGCCGCAGGCGCTGCCGTTCCTTCAGCCGCTGGCTGCCCCGCTGCAGGTGCCGCCTCCTGCTGCGGGGGGGCCGAGGTGCGCCTCTTCTTGGACTTGAGGCGCTCCCGCAGCTCCCGCAGCGGAGGAGGAGGAGGAGGAGGAGGCCAGAGGAGTAGGTAGAGGAGGTGGGGAGGTGCAGGAGGAGGAGGAGGAGGAGGAGGTGCGGAGGAGGTGGAAGTGGTGGAGCAGGTGGAGGACTAAGCTGAGGACGATAGGGACGACGGAGGCCCCCCCTGCGTTGGCGGCCAGCGCCGAAGGACGGCGCCACCGTTGAGCTGATCAGGCGCCGCCCGGGCGACCTTTTCCGGGATATCGTCCGCCTCGTCCGCCGTTGTTGTTGCGTCGTCGTCTTCATCCGCCGCCGCCTCTTCTTCCTCCTCCTCCTCCTGCTCCTCCTCCTCCTGCTCGGCATGTTCCATCCTCCTCCTCCTCCTGCTCCTTTTCCTCGTCCTCATCCTCATCCTCCTCCGCCTCCTCCTCCTCCTGCCTCTCATCCTCCTCATCCTCCTCTATCGTCCTTCTTCCCCGTTGCTATCATCAATTTCCTCCGCCTCCTGTTCCTCGTACTCCCCGTCTCTCCTGTGCTTCTTCTCTCTCATCCGCCTTCTACCGTTCGTTATCTTCCTCCTCCCCTTCATTCGCATCTTGTATTCATGGTGCCTGCACTAAATCCCGCCACCGTGCCGGCTCAGTACATTGGATGGCGAGATGTTGAGCATTTAACGGCGTCGCATGTGATAATTACCCGTCGTACCCACTTCTTCAGAAGATGTCATGGAGCTTGCTTGGACCTTTTGGGGCTGCCTTGGGCTCCTGTGGAACATCCTTGGAAATCCCGCGTCGCCCTCCTGGGCTATCTGGGGCAATATTTGACCGTCTTGGGGCTCTCTCAAATCAACGTGACCGTTGCGCCATGACAATCCTAAACCGTGCCAGGCAACCATTCGTATTCCTGGACTGCGTGCGACACTGCCACGCATCTTTCGAGCTCCTGCACAGTTTTAGAACGAACGCGCGCGGCGCTAAAAGGAGAGCCACCGCTTGACAAGAAAGCCGCCCACCGTTCTCGAATTGGTTGAACATTTGCTCGTAGCAAAATATGTGCGCGACGCTGACAGAAGAGCCACGGTTCGAAAAGGGCCCGCCCTCCACCCGTGAACGCGGTGCAACACATGTGCGCGCTCTTGGGGCGAGAGCCTCCGTTTGAAGAAGGGCCCGCCCTCCACGTGCGAAGCTGCTGCAGACTTGCACGACGGATGTGCGCGGCGCTGTGGCGAGAGCCACATGTTAAACCCGGCCCGCCCTCCGTCCGCGAAGCTGGTGCGGCTTCCAAGCGTCCGGGCCACCAGTGGCGAGGAGGCCTCGGGCGAAACCTCCGGCCCGCCCTGCGGACGTCTCGGGGCGGGACAGGAAGGAGTGATTCGTAAGGAGAAAGGGCTGGGGGGGACGGGGACGGCGGCGAGGGAGGGGTGCAGAGAGGCCTGGGCCGGAGAAGGGCAGAGCTACGCAAGCGTAAACTCCAACAGCTTACGTCTACGCGGTCCTTCCTTCTCCTGTTGGGGGGACGGGCCGTCGGAGAAGGCCTGGGGGAGGAGGAGGAGGAGGAGGAGGAGGAGGAGGAGGAGGAGGAGGAGGCGGAGGCGGAGGCGAAGGCGGAGGAGGAGGAGGAGGAGGAAAAGGAGAGGGAACGGGAGAAGGAGGAGGGAGGAGGAGGAGGAGGCGCAGAGGAGGAGGAGTGAGTGAGGTAGAAGAGGGGGGACGGTGAGTGAGGAGGAGGGGAGGTAAAGGGAGGAAGGAAAGAGGGGAAGAAGGGGCTGAGAAGGGGAAAGAATAAGGGAGGGGGAGGCCGAGGAGAGGAGTAGAAAGAGGAGAAGGAGAAGGAGGAGGAGGAGGAGGAGGAGGAGGAGGAGGGGGGGGGGAAGGAGGCAGAGGAGGAGGGAGGAGGGAGGAGGGGAGGAGGAGGAGGGGGAGGGAGGAGGAGGGGGAGGGGGAGGAGGAGAGGGAGGGGAGGAGGAGCGAGTAGGAGGAGGAGGAGCCTGTTGGCTTGCAGTTGTGTGCCTGGCTTGCAATCTACTTCTAGCACGTTTCCCAGCCGCTCTTGAGGCCCTCGCCAGACATCCAGAGGCCTCCTCGGCAGGGGCCTCTGACCGCGGGGTGGCGTCCGACAGCCAGAGGCCCACCTTCATTCTCGGGGCTCAAGTTTCAAGCAGTGGCGAAGCGTCCTAGCTCGCGTATAGGCCCACCAGAGAATGTTCCAAGAACCTTGTGTGGTCGGCACGACATGTTCTTAGAGCATTTCTGACTGGGGCTGCCTTGTTTTGGCATCGGGCTTTTGTCCTGAGAACAATGTTGTTGTTCTTAGAGCCTTTTTGGGTTCTAAGAACATGTCGTGGTAGGCCTATAGGAATGCCGGGACGGTCGGTCCTTGCTCAAACATCCCCTCCCGGGGCTCAAGGGACGGGGGTCAATGCACACGGGGGTCAGCCAAAGCGCTGGATCTTGCAAGATCCTGCAGAGCCAGGGCCACCTTGACCCAGATTTGGGTGCAGGACCCCTGCAGCATCCGGCAGGGTCCTGCAGAGCCTGACGGACCCGGGCCTGGATTGGCCTGGGCCAGTAGGTCCCCGGCCCTCGCTGTGAACGCGTCGCGGCCCTGGGTTTTCGAGGTGCTCGGGAGCTCGAGGCTCAACGTTTCCGGGCGCGTGCGCTGCTTCTCGGCGGCTTGCCAGCCTCGGGGAGGAGGAGGAGGAGGAGGAGGAGGAGGAGGAGGAGGAGGAGGAGGGGAGGAGGAGAGGAGGGGGGAGGGGGAGGGGGTGCATTCCAGAGGCTGATACCCTCGCCGATGTGCGTTTACAGGGGTGATCCGGATCGGCCCGATCGGCCCACACGCAGAGGCACGAGGTTTAATGACCCGCACACAGGCTCCACTCCATACGCCGACTCCTCCTCCTCCTCCTCCTCCTCATCCCCCTCCTCATCCTCCTCCTCCTCAACGCCTCCTCCTCCTGATCCTCCTCCTCCTCCTCCTCTATCCTCATCCCTACTATGGACAGGCGCGACGGAGAAGTTTTTGGCCCATTTTCTTATTTTTTTCTTTTTTCTTTTTTTTTTTTTTTTTTTTTTCTTTTATGTTTTTTTTTTTTTTCGTGTTTTTTTTTTCTTTCTTTTTTTTTTTTTTTTTATTATTTTTTTTTTTTTTTCTTTATCACTTATTTTTTTTTTTTTCAGTTCGGCCTCCCGGGGGCCTCGCTGGGCCCCGGGACCGTGAAAACAAACGATTGGGGATGAAAAAAGCCAGCCCCGGGGGAGGGACCTGGGCCCCTGGGCCTCCACGTCTCGGCGGGGCCCAGGCGGTGCGGTGACCACACCGTGTGTTGCGTCAGTGGGGCTCCAGGTTGACCGCACAGTCGTGGGACTCGAGCCGGTCTCAGAGGACGTCTCGGGCGACTGGGGCCTCCGGGGTCCCAAAACCGTGCGGTGACGGACCGTGCGGTGAGGTCGTTGGGGGCTCCGAGGTCATCGCACGGTCTGTCACCGCACCGCTTTGGGACCCCCACAGGGCTCGATTCGATTCCTCCAATTCGATTCGATTCGACTTCGGTGGCTTCCGATTCCGATTTGATTCGACTTGGGACTCCGATTTGGGTTTCGATTTCTCACTGGAGGCATAATAGCCTGCCGATGTCCGCCGACCCGATTCATTTCGATCGCCGATCCGACTCATCGATTCGCCTCTGGGCTCTCCTGCCCCCAGGCGTTGCGAACAGAATCGCGACGCCCCCCCCATTTCCAGCTCCCAGATGCTGGAGCCACTCGGCGGTAACAACGGCCGCGGACGGCAGGAGAAGGAGGAGAGGGAGGAGAGGGAGGAGGAGGAGGAGGAGGAGGAGGAGGAGGAGGAGGAGGAGGAGGAGGAGGAGGAGGGGCAGGAGGAGGAGGGATTTTTTGGAGGAGGAGGAGGAGGAGGGAGGAGGGGCAGGAGGGGCAGGAAGGAGGAGGAGGAGGAGGAGAAAGCCTCACACAGCCACCAGGGGCTGGAGCCAACGGCGGGGGGTAAACACGGGAAGCGGACGGCACCACCAATAGGGTGGAAAGTGGACAGCGGCGCCTGGCGCGAGGGCAGCGAGGGGGCCCGATGTTGCGGAGAAAGCGTGCCGGCACTGGCGACAATATCCGGCACGCGTTGCCGGAATACAGTCGTAACTACCTGCCTCTCATAATCCCTGTCGGACCTCCTCCATACCTCATCCTCCTTCCTCCTCCTCCTCCTCCTTTTCCCTCGTCCTCCTCCTCCTCCTCCTCCTCCTCCTCCTCCCCCCCCTCCTGGAGGACAGGGGAGTGCCCAAATCCCTGGAGGCGCCGAGGGCATCTCAGCGATGGTGGTGATGGTCGTGCTTCTCAGGTGGCCGAGAGATTACCACCAGCACCCGCAAGCGAGGATCATCTGCTCCCGGTGGAGGCAACCCCTGCGGTGGTTGTGGTGCCAATTTTCAGGCCCCCAACGCCTGACCATCTCCAGAGATCCGATGTCGTGATTTTTTCAAGACGGGGTCCCCGGAAGTCTCGACCCATTCCCCAGGACCGGTTTTTCATCCTGAGTCGTTTTTGACGGTCCCGAGGCCCGGCGAGGGCCCCTGGGGGCCGAAATTTGCGAAAAAAATCCGCCTTGTTTTTTTCATTGCGTTGGATCTCTGGGTCACGAAGATGAGCTGGATACGTCAAAAACTCTGCGAGTTCCGCGCGGACTCCTCGGCTCCGCGCGGTGCCCCGTGGGCGGCGCCTCTGGTGCCGGCCCCCGGCGCGCGGAGAGCGCGCCAGGGAGCGGGGCCCAGCGCGGATCCAAGAAATCCGCGCGGAGCACCCAAAGTTTGCGGTCGGGAGCTTCTGGACGGCGCGTCGCTTCGCCGGTTCTGGCCTGCCCTGCCTCCTCCTCCCCCTCCTCCTCCTCCTCCTCCCCCTCCTCCCCCCCTCCTCCTCCTCCTCCTCTCCTCCTCCTCACTCCCCTACCTTTTCCTCCTCCTCCTCTCCTCCTCCTCCCCCTCCTACCTCCTCCTCACTCCCCCTCCCTCCCCTTTTCCCGCCCTCATCCTCCCCCTCTTCCCTCCCCCTCCTCCTCCCCCCTCCCCCCTCTCTCCTCTCCTCCTCCTTCTCCTCTCCTCCTCCCCTCCTCCACCCTCCTCCTCCTTCCTCCTCCCCCTCCTCCTCCTCCTCCTCCTCCTCCTCCTCCGCTTCCTGGTCCCCAGGCGTCCGCGTCCCGAGCTTGCCGGGCCTCCCGCCGCCCCTTCGGAGCGGAGCGACACGCGATCCTCTCGCAGGGCATAGCCTGCCGCCGGGGACGCCGCGGCGACACGCTGCGCAAAAGTTTCTGGACGCCCGAAATGGGTACGGAAAGAATGGGTACGATGCCCAACAGCAGTTCTAGTTCATCTTGAACAGGACTTTCTGTCCGCGCCGCCGCGGCCTGTGTCCATTTGAGACAGAAGGCCGCCTGCCCAACAGCGGCCGCTGTTGGTTCGGGACAGCATTTGTTGTTGGGCATTGTACCCATTCTTTCCGTACCCATTTCGGGCGTCCAAAAAGTACCCACCGTAGTTGCCTCTTACTCTGACGTCGCCCGCGTTCTCGCCGCGCCCCCCTTTCGTCCCCCCCTGCGCCTCCCCCAGCCCGCCAGACGAGACGGCTCCCGGGTGCGGGCTTACTCGGGGGCCTAAGGCTCCGAAATTCCATTGGCAAGGGCCCGTCCAGGAAGGAGGCTCCCGCGTTGGAAGGCAACGTCTACCTGGTTCCAGAAGACCAGTATTGGCGGCATGTGCCAAATACCGTTCTCGCTTTCTAGCCACAAGCGTCTGTAAACACACTGGGTGCCATTACGTACATTGGCACATGCGGGGTGGATGAAGATGCACCCCGGCGAGATGGCGAGGCTCTTTTGGTTCAGGGTCCCTGAAACCCACCACAATGTTGGGCACGTGTTCTTTCCTTGGCGCTTGTCGCACTCCCGCCTCCGAATTGTGCTCTCTCGGCGCTGACCAAGTTCTTGGCTCTCAGCGATGCTCTGCCCTCGTCCCGATTCGGATTGTGGCTATGGTTTCGACGCCGGCTACACTATTGGCTCTGAATGGTGCTCCCGCCCCAGCTACATTCCTGGAAATGTCGCTCCTGTTGCGGCTCTGGACTAATTTCCAGCTCAGAACGGTAAATTTGTTTCAGCACTGGCCGTGCTCCCAGCTTGAGCGTGGCGCTGTCGCCTCAGAGCTAGCTACACTGCTTGCTCAGAGGGGCGCTCCCTCCTCAGCAACGGCCACACTCTTCACTCAGAGTGGTGTCTGCTTTTCGCCTCTGCGCCTGACACCCCATTGACGCAAGTAGTGAGTAGTGGTCTGCCGTCGGTGCGCCCCAGGTGCGTGTTTTGACGAGCGCAGCGGTCCCTGCTAACTAATTGCGTGCTGTTCGTGTCGTCTTCGTCATGGGTTGCTCGAGAGCGCCTCTCCTGCGTGCCAGAGCCACTTGCCGATCGCGAAGGACCGGCATATCAGACATGGCGGTGCGGGAAGGGACTCGCCCTCGGCCGAAGGCGGGCCGCAGG